CCGGGACTCCAGGATCATGACCTGAGCCGAAGGCAGTCGCTTAACCAACTGAGCCACCCAGGCACCCATCCATTTCTTTTTTTTTAAAGATTTATTTATTAGAGAGAGAGAGCACATGCACACAAGTGGGGGGAGGGGCAGAGGGAGAGGGAGAGAGAGAATCTCAAGCAGACTCCCCACTGAGCATGGAGCCAGACACAGGGCTTAAACTCAAGACCCTGAGCTCATGACCTGAGCCAAAATCATGAGTCAGACCCTGAACCCACTGAGCCACCCAGTTGCCCCTGTTATTAGCATTTCTGAATCGGGAGTGGGCTAGATGACCCCTAAAGTCCCTTGTAGCCTTGAGATGGCACGATTCTCTAGTCAGATCCTGAGGAGAAAGAGCAAAGAGATGTGTATCTGAGTCTGTGCCATGTATCCAGAGAGGGGGGGAAAAGTGTCTGTGAGGGGAGGGAGAGATAAAGTATGAGGCTCGAACTTCCTTCCTACCGCATTCTCTGCCTCATGCGAGGGAGGGCTCCTGGAGGGCCTTCATTTCTTAAGCTGATGAAATATCGATTGGAGCTGAGATCCGACATTCTGTAATCCATCTTTCCTCCCCATTTTTGCACAATGCATGCTATGAGACTAGGATGTTTAGTTTTGTTGTGATTTGTTTCTGTCAAGCATTCCTGGTACCCTCTTACACCCAGAGGGCGAGATGAGAAACCCGGGGAACCCTGGAACAGATCCTCAGCTGACCCTGTAGTGGGGTGATGCCTCCTCTCTGAGTAGAGGGACAGAGAGAGCCCCGATGAGGAGGCCGGAGTGCAGGATTCCAGTAGTCCAGTCCTGATTCTTCCCCTTCACAGCTCTTCTCAGGCCTCAGTTTTCTTATCTGCAAAATGGGAATCATAATGTTTCCTACTTAAGAGGATTGTAGCAAGGGGTAAATGAATTAATATATGTAAGGTTATTAAAACTATGGCTAGCAGCTAGGGACACGTTCAACTGCAATTAACAAATAATCCTTCTATAGTAGCTTAAACAGGTAAGAGTTTACTTTTATCACCCAACAAAATGGCTATGAACAGGCATCCTAGAACTATAAGTGACTCATCGGTAACATCAGGGACTGTAACTGTATCCATCTTGTTGCTCCACCCTCCTTATCACCATGACCTTCATCTTCAATCTTGTAACCTCATAGTCACAATGTGGCTGCTGGTCCTCCAGACTTCCAGCCACATTCCAGGCAAGAGGAAAATGGAAGGAAGAAAGACAAAGAGGTGACGCATGGATTGGGTCAGCAAAAATTTTCCCAGAAGCCCTGAGCTATGTCTCATTGGCCAGAACCGTGTGGCCAGCCCTAGCTTCAGAGAAGGATAGGAAAGCCATTTTTTTCCCTAGCAAAGCGCACTGCAGCCCTGAACACAAATTGGGGTTCAGGTGGGCAGCAGAAAGGAAGGACAGATCTGGAGTGGGGAACCAGCAATTCTGCTTCGGAGGTGGAGGGTCAAAAATTATTAACCACCTCCTGACAACAGCCCCTCTCACTACTGATGTCCCATAGTTCAGCTGTAGTAAGCCATCGACTAAAGCAAACCGAGAACCAAGTATTAAATAGTTAGCAGCTCACTGTTTTCTCTGCCACAAGCTATTTATAGAGCAGATTTCTAATAAACACAGATTGGCAGCTGGGGTGGGGGGAGGTCAGCAGTGCACAGGCCCAGCTTTATTGATGCCTTGTCAATCAACGGCTCTTATTTTGTTGTTTAATTTTTTTTAAGTGCATGTAAGCACTTTCCCTGCTAATAGCAGATTTATTGAACAGCTCTGCAATGGAGTTCATCTCTCCCGTAGACTGTGGCAGCTGATTATCAACTTTGTGGTTTCGGGTCGGAGGGTAAATTAACCCTGTATCCATGGCCCCTTCCAGGGGAATTCCAGGGGTCTAGACAAATTCAATAGTGTCCAATAAAATGTCCCACTTCTCCCACTCTGGGCACCTCACACCGGGCCTCAGCTTTGCTGTCGAAGCAAAGGATGTAATTTGACAAATGGAACATCCAGGCATGTGGTCATGTTGGCCATTTTGTTAAGACCAAGAGAGAATTCCCTTATCTGAGAAGTTTGGCCTCTCTTGGAAAGCAGACTTGCTTTTCCTGAGCATTCACATTCCCTGCTCTGATCAGAGAGTTATCCTGGTTTACAACCACACATGCCCCGCCCCCAACCTTTGACGCTGCCATTTCAGCCAGGCTCAGCCCACCTCTTCTGTCTCATTTCCCCATCTCTGCATCTCTTATACCCACTCCAGCCAATTCGGTACTTGCTAACCTCTAAACACATGTGGGCATCTCTCCTTCCACACCTCCCTTGGCCCCCTCCACCTTTCCTCTTCCCTGACCTGCCATCGCCCCCCAACAACTTTGCCACTTGTCCAACTTCTTCCCATTCTTCAAGGCCCATGTCCAAATCATTATTTAAGAAGTTACCTTTGCTTCTTCTCAATGGATGGGTCCCAGTTCTTATGAAGTTCCGTTGCTCCGAGTTAGTATTTCTGGAAGCCCTGATGGCAAGGACCAGATGATGGTGATGGTGATGATGGTGACAAAAGACAAAAACAGCTCTCATTTATCAAGCTCTTACTAATGTGCCAGGCAAGGAGCTTTTCCTATATATCCTACCTTCATAAGAGCTCCATGAAGTAGGTTCTAACATTATTTCTATTTCACAGATGAGGAAACAGGGACAGAGTGAAGCTGGGTGGTTTGCCCAAAGACCCTCCTGCTGGTACACAGGAGCCTTGTGCTCTAAGCGATATGGCTCAAGGCCCACGCATTTGGCTTCTTGTCTTTGTGTCCCTGCCCCGTTCCCACCATGCATCGCAACTCAGCGTGACTACACCCCAGAAGGCAGGAACCCTTGGCCACATCTCATGGGCTAGCCTCACCCACCTTCAGTTTACAGCATCTGAGAAAGGGGAACAAGCTGAGAAAGGGTCAGAAAAAGTTTACTTGACCCAGAAGAGGCTGCTGTCAGTTCTGAGCCCAGGCCCTGGTGTGCAAAGACTAGGGGGAAAACAAACCCTTGGCTGGCACCTCTGGCAAGATGAATCCCCAAGGGGCTGGGGGCATGGTTCTCAATGTTTAAAAGCCCCAAACCAGAGATCTTTTGGAAGAGAGATTGTCAACAGGCTCTCTAATCTGAAAACAAAAGCCATCAACACGGGGTTTACAAGACAGATTCTCAGAACACAACAGGTTTATGGTGAAGATTAACTCCCTTCGGGGGGAGGGCCTGGCAGAGAACTTGCCCCTCTCAGTCTGTATCTGTCGCCAGCCCTTTGGTTCCAGGAAGCAGGGCCACAAAGGCAGATTGAGGCCCATTGCCTGGTGTCTGTTCTTCTTCCTCTGGTCAGCAAAGGGATGCCAGCAAAAATGGAAGTACTTAAAAAGCCATCATTTTTAATGACCCAGGTCTGGAGATTTGACTTAGCAAAACATTGTCAATCCCTCCCCTCTAATTAATCCCCCTGCACCTCACAACTGAAACCAGTTAGCTGGTTCATCTCAGAATGGACAAAAGAGCAGAGGACTTGAAGAAGCTTAATGTTCTGGAAGGAAAAAGCGAGACTAGCTGGTTGGGGAGGAAGAGAAAGTGTGGATCCAGGGCGCCAGTAGTATCCTTGGTCCCATCAAGAAGGTCGGCCCCATGCGGGATTTGAGAGAGAACAAGGAAGGACAAGGTGGGTGGCTTTCCTGAGAACGTGAGCAACTTGCCTGGATCCATGGGCTCCCCAAGCCGACACGTGTGTTATCCTGCCAACCCAGCACCAAGAAGTCATTGAGTCAGACTAAGATGGGGACGGAAGGCCATTTCCTTTTGTGTCAGGGCTGGACAAAATGGCTTAGAGCGGAGGTGGCCAAGCCAGACACAGGGCTTACCCTTTGGGTGCACTCCGCCCTTCCCACTGCTAGGATCGGCCTCTCTCTGCCTCAGGACTTTCTCTGGCCCCCAGATCACTCGCTGCTCAAACAGCCTGCACCCAGGACTGGACAAATACCCCACTTCCTCTCCACTCAGGAGGGAAACTGAGGCACTTTCTGTGCTGACTCTCACAGTGACCCCCAGCCAGATTAAACGTTAGCTGCCCACAACACGAACTTCATCGGTTTTCATCCCCACCCTGTCCCCCGTCCCACCCACGGCACCTGTGTCCTAGGTTCACCTCCCAAGTAAACTACTTGCTCTCAGATCCTGGTGTCATGATCTGCTTTGGGGGGAAGCCAATCTAAGACCAGGGGAGAGCGGGTGACCGGAGTGGATGTCAGCATGGGAGGCGGACGGTGCCCTGCTGGGAGGTCCAAGTTTGACAGAGAAACTGAAAATCCGCATTTCTCACGTGAAATGCCGGGTTTTGTTTGGTAGTGGAGGGATCGAAAGATAAAAATAGCAGCAGCTTCCTGGTCAAACCAAATGCTTTGAGACTAGCCTGTGGACAACCCCTGGCCTAGGGCAGGAAAGCAAGGCTGCAGGGAGGGATGAACCGGCCCTTTTCAGGAGGTACGTGGGGGGGGCGGGGTGACAGCCTGTCAGTCTCATTTTTCCTGGTAGGGCACTGAGACCTCCTGATAGGCCTAAATGACAAAGAGAACTTCCTGTGGCCTTTCCACATGGCAGCCATGTAGACCACTGTCTCCTTCTCCATCTGGTCATGAGTAGTGACTCCACCTCTCCTTACACACTCCAGCCACGGGGAACTCACTATCTTCCACATCATTTCATTCCATGGCTCGGATGACCCTAACCTTTAGAATGTGTTCCTCTCTATGCTGAAATCTCCCTCCCCGTAACTCATCCCCACTGGCTGAATTCTGCTTTGTGGAGCTATACACTTATAACAGCAAAACTCAGGGAGGAAGTAAGGAAGCAGGCTGGGTGGGGCTAGCAGCAGTTCCAGGATGGAGACGGTGTCAAGGATGTACATGGTTTGAAAACACCACAATTCAAGTTATGGTACTTAAAACCAAAAACTGAAAAATAAATCCTATTTTCCATGAGACCAGTAAGAGCTTGGGGACACCTGGCTGATGGGACGCCCAGAGGGCAGAGCCACGTGTGCCCTCTCAGGGCCAGGTACGAGAGTCCCCAGGATGTACAAGATTTTTAGATCTACTGAAAGGAGATGAGGTGTTTCTCAAGACTAAGGACCTTGGTTTGATCCCTCCCTCCCTGTTCCAGTCACAATTCCTTAAGCTTCTTCTCAACTCTGCTCATGATGTACTTTTCAAATGGGGCACATGTATCTGAAAAGATCATGGAAGATAAGGTTAAGACTGGGTGGAACTTCAGGAAAAATGTTATTTTATTAGTTTTTAATTTTTTTTAAAGATTTTGTTTGCGAGAGAGAGATATCACAAGCATGGGGTGGGGGAGAGGAAGAGGGAGAAGCAGAACTCCCCACTGAGCAGGGAGCCTGATTCAAGACTCGATCCCAGGACCTTGGGACCATGACCTGAGCCGAAGACAGACGCTTAACCCACTGAGCCATCCAGGCGCCCCAGGAAAAATGTTAAATAACAACTATTTTTAATAGTAAAACAAAGACTGTATTATCAAGTAAATTACATCAGAATAAAAATTTTTTTAAATAGTTCAAGAAACTTCAAAAACGGCCCTGGTACCCCCTTCTAGCTTTATCCTTACATGGCCTTTCCTCTGAGTGTGAGGGAGCTCTCTATGTCTCTTCTTGTAAGAACACAAATCCTAAAAGATCGGGGCACCATCCTTATGACCTCATTTAACTTTACAGCCTTAGAGACCCTATCTCCAAACACAGTCACATCGGGGGTTTGGGCTTCCACAAAAGGATTTGGGGGAGACAATTTAGTTCCTAGCAGCCCTGCTGACCTTGGTGGCCTCGGGGAGCACCCCTCAACTGTGCAGATTATGAGCTCACACTTCTCTGCCCTTGCTTGTGTTTTGGTTGGCAAGTCTGAGAAGTCCTGGACTCTCAGTGTGTCTCCTCCCAGGGGTGACGCCCAGAGGAGGGGCCAAGTAGAGATGACAGTAGCCACCCCCGTGCAGGACATATGTGAGATGTATGTGCCACACCACACTCCCCTTTATTCTTGGCCAAAATTGAGCCAGGCTGGAGCCAGCCTTGGAGTATACAGAGGGGATAGTTTAGAGCTTGGGAAACTCGAAAGCCAAACCAATGGAAATCGCCTGGCCCCAATCTGGAATCTCTGGCCTATGAACCCCCAGTTTCCAGATAGCGACAGGTCAGCTAATCTTTGTTTGGACCTCCAAATATTACATTTCTTTCAAAACCTTCTATAATCCCAAGAGCATGTGGTGACTTCTACAGTGACAATATGTTCATTTATTCATTAATTCAACAAATATTTATTGAGTCTCTACCATATGCCAGGAACAGTGTTTGGCAAATAGTGGTCCCCAAGGACCTACTTTAATGACTAACTAAAATCCAATGTATTATTATTAGCAAACCCACCATTGTCTGTGTGTGTGTTGGGGGGGGGATGTGGGTGTGTGTGTTTAGGGCTGGTTCCCTTAAGCAAGCCAAAGGGCTGCCTGTCTTATTTACATCTTTCCTCTGTTGAACAAAGCCATTTCCTCATGGTTTGAGAACATTCATAAATTCTCACCTTGAGTCCAAATTAATGAAGTATAATGACTGATGAACTTCAGGTAGTCCAAGTTGGTTTGACCTCAGTGATGATAGGAAGTATCTAAACTCCATTCTGTCCCAGTCCACCCTCTTCTTCCTCCTTTCTCCCACTCATCCTAGGCAAGGCACTCCAGGGGGTTCAAACTCAGTGTTCTACAGTGAAGATCCAGTTCAATTAATCTTTCCTTTTTTCCACAATTCACTCAGCTCAGTAGCTCTCAACCTTGACTGCATCTTAGAATCATCTTGGGAACTTCTGAAAACTAAAGATGTCCAAGTCCCAAACCCAGAGCCTATGATTTAGTTGGTCTGGAATATGGCCCAAGCATCAGATTTCTTTTTCTTTTTCTTTTTTTTCCAAAAAACTTCCTCAGTAATGCTAAGTTGCAGTCAGCATTGGGAAGCATTGATGATCATTTCCCCAGTTGACTATTCCTCTGGGGACCAAAGCTCCTATGTTGATCTACAGAGTGAAAGGACTCTAATGATGGGACCCAAGGCAGGTGGGCAGGGGCTGTTTTGGGTCAGGGCAGCTTCGGGGGAGCCATCAAATCACAGAGTCCTCACCCACTTCTCTACTGCCAGCTCCCAATAAGAGAGAGAATTAAGAGGCATTGCATAGATGTTTCCTAAATTGAAGCGAGTAATAAGAAAGTATTATTGATTAGCCTCACCTGCAGACACTGGGGCCATTTTCGGCCATGACACAATGAACATCATTTTCTCAAACTGTTGGTGTCTCGGTGGCAAAAAGCAGAAACCTAAACTTGCACGAGCAATAAAAAAAGTCGACTATTCGGGGAGGCATCTCTCAACACCCAAGGAGAGACTATGAAACTCTGCCTCATGGAGGACAGGAATCCAGGGCCCCATAACCAGGGTCTCTCTCAAGTTTCATTGCCTTGAATCATTTATTTTCTCTGGATCTTCCTCATCTTTCTCTGTAAACTGGCTTCTCTGTAAAATGCAGCCAACCAACACACCCTAAGTTTACGCTTCCACAGTTTAAGTAACACAAAGAAACAAACTAGCATCTGCAAATGCTAGTTCCGAACGCTGGGCGGAGAGAATCTGATTGGCTCAGTGTTAGTCAGGTAACCACACCTGGCCAATCAGCTACATCCAGGGTTGGGATCTCGTTACTGAATTATGGCTTCCCGGGAAGGGAGCGGATGTTGTCAGAGAAAGGAGACACGGAGAGACGTTCCAGTTGGTGTCGTCTGTAGTCACACACAGGGTGGTTTCAGTGACAGTCTTACAGCTGACTTGAGCTAGTCTCAGAGTTTACTGGTCTCACCAACCATCCAGCTCACTTCAGGGCAGGAAGGCAGGAGGTGAGGGCTCTCCCCTGGTGCCCTGACTTCCCTCCTCGCCCTTCATGCAGCTCTTGGCACAAACAGTCTCCAACCTCATTACCAGCCGGAATTAATCAAAGGTATTCCCAACTGCATGAGCGATGTTAGCCAGGAATGTCTCCAACTTGAAATTCTTAAAATAGTTTTGTTTATGAGGAAGTTTTACATGTTAACTTTTTCCAAAAGCCAGTGAGAGGAGCAGTCCCTACAGACATCTGAGAATACTTTGGCTGTCTTAATTCGCTCATGATGTTTCATTAATATCAATTTTCTCCCCGCGTCCCAGCCTGGCAGGTTCTTTTTACAAGTGTTCTAGTCTCCCAACCTCTTGTTTCTTGTTTTGTTTAAACTTTTTCTTAGAATTCTTTCTCCATTTTCTTCTAAATCTCCATAAGGCGCACATCTTTTGGCTTTAACAGCTCCGTTTAAAAAATGAAGGACATCACAGACTTCTTGGGTTCCCCCCCCCCCCACTTGGAAGTTACAAGAGGGAGGTTGGAGGGAAAATAGTCTAGAGAGCCAGATTTTAATCGTGCTTCTTAATCCTGCCCTTGGGGCTAGTGGTGTGGAAATTCTGTCTTCTCCCCCACACTTCCAAACTCCAAAAGTCTTGAGTGAGCATCATCTTACTTGGTCTTCTCAATGCCCAGAGACAGAAGGCCAGCGAGGAGCCCTAATCCACAACCACCACTGGCTTGGTCAGAAGTCAGTTGGAGGTCATGTCTGGCTAGTTTCTTGTCCCATGACAGTCATTGGCTTATTTGCTTTAAGATCCATTCACTGTCATTCCCCTTCTCTGTATTCCCAAGCTCCCTTGCCAACCGGCTTCTGGGTTCAACCAACGGAAGGCTCTGGCAGAGTAATGGGGGGTGGAAGGAGGTGGAAAGTCAGGGTAGATCTCTTTCTCGCTCCCATTTCTCCTGTGGTATCTATGGCAGTGCCCCTTCTGTGGCTCTGATTCCCAGCAGGAAGCCCAACGATGAGTCTAGCTCCCTCTGGACAACCTGAATCTTGTTTTAGGTTGCAACATAACATCTTGTTTTCTGTTCAGCCCCAGGAGTGGTAGCAGCTTCCTGATGTAGCCAAAGTCTGAGTCGTATCATCATGCCTTGTGTGGCTTCTCAGATCTTCCCTTGGTCTGTGTAATCAATCCCCTCTATTAAATTCTCTCTGTTTGAACCATGTAGGGCATCTGCCCACTCAAAATTAAAGTTCTCTGCCTGCCTATAAAACAGTGTTTTGCAAACTATCTGTTGCAAAGGACCGTTTTTAAATATTTTCAATCCATCATGGATTGACACATAACTGGTATGCAGCTAGATCCACACACAGTTTACCATGCAAATGCAACAATAATGGAACTGATCTACACCCTGCTCAATGAGACAAGTCTACCAAGCATGCATCTGGATATTAGAGCAATGTAAAATTGCTATAAAATTTCCAAAACTTACTTTCACCTGTATAGTTGTCTCATCACAGATCTCTGGCAAAGAGTTTGTGAGCTGGTGTGGGAGTGTGGACCATTCTTTGAGTAATGTTGTTCTGGGATCCTTTTTATTCACGTATAGGACCATTCAATGGTTTGGGAAGTCTGGATGCAGCATAGATCATTTTTCCTTTGGGTTATGCACAATTCCCTGACAGAGCTGTAGTTCTCATCTAGACCATGTTCCCCACAACTTTCCAACACTGAAGACATGACATACTAAGGACAGCACTCACCATGGACTGACTTCTTTTATCAGCAGTTGATTTAATCCTCACAATGGCCCCATGATGAGGTGCCATTGTTATCCCCATTTTACAGAATGGAAAAGTAAACCTCAGAGAGGTTACATAGCTTCACCAGGATCACAGAGCTTGACCCTCACCCCAGTATGTCTGACTCAGTGCCCATGGTCTTAGCTACAATACTGATTTGCCTGATTCATCTGTGTCCTTGGTATTGAACACAGAGTCTGACACATCAAAGGAAAGATTACAAAGGATCAGAATGACCAAGTGCAGCAATACATGGTCCGTTCCTTCTCTCACCTGGGATAGGGCTCTCCACAAAACACCCTGCCATCAGAACTCACTCTTTCCCAGCCAAATCGTCCCCATCAACATCCTCCTTAGAGAAGCCCTTTCAACCCTTCCAGGGCACCCTTCTCTGCTTCCTACAGCTCTAACAGCCTGCGTGCCACACTCTCAAATTCATGCTGAATGCCATACAATCCTATTGTCCCCAGACTGTACTTTAGAACACTTCTTGTCTCCCCACGAGTTTAGGAATTCTTCAACAACAGAGGCTTTTATAATAACAGTGGCTCCTGGCACAGAGCTAATATTTATTAAGCACTTCTTGGCGCCAGGTATTACTTTAATTAATAATTGTTTTATATTCACAGCAATGCAAGTGAGGTGTTCTTATTATACCCTTTTGAGATATAAGGAAACTGAGATGAAGAGAGCTTAAGAAAGTTTCCCCGAGTACAAGTAGGGGCTCGGATTTGAGCCCTTGAATTGTTGACCTCCAAAGCCTATATTCAGCCACTGTGTGATTCTTGAATTTTCCAGATACTCCCATCTCTGTGAACTAAGCCTTAGGGAAGGAAGGAAGTACCATCATTGAGAGAGCTTTAGAGCCAGAAAAACACTTGGAGGATTTTTCACTTCTCCATTGTGTAATGAGGACGTGGAGGCTTAGGGTGGGGTGGCTAGCTCATGGTCACACGGCAAGCCCATGTCAGAAACATCAGTGGGTCCTGAGTCCCAGCATGGAGATCTTCTGTCTGCACCAGGTGGATTGCATGCATGTGGATACTCACCTGACTACTGAGATTCCCAAGAGCGGCATGTGGTGTTTTCTGGGTCTCCTGGCAGGCAAGCACTGATTCCAAAGAAGAAAACATAAAAGCCACGGATACTGGGAACTGTCCGTGAATGTGAATGACTTCAAGTAAGGAAAGGCAGCTAAACGTAGAGATGGGAGCCCTTGCCTGGGTGTCAGAAGACCCGGGCTTGAAACCCAGTTCTGCTGCACGCCCTTTGGCAAGTCGCTTAATTCCTCTGAACTTGTTCAAGTGTGCACTCTCTTGAGGAGCCTGCAATGTCCTCCAGATGGATCTAGCCCACCAACCCCTTAGCCAATGATGAAGTCCTCAGCAATACAGGGGAGGACCTGTGGTGTGGGGTTACAGAGAGGACTGAGGTCAGCGTGGTCTGGAAGTGGCCAAGAACTGGTTCCCATAGAATGAACTAGAAAGGTGGGGAAAATTTTTTAATTTAATTATTATTTTTTTCCAATAGCAAAAATAAGGCTGACTTACTGTTGAATATTCTAAAAGCCCAGCAAAGAACAAATACACCTGGAAAACAAATACCTGTAATCTTACCTTCTGAGCATCCTTTCCATCTTGTTACTGGTCATGTTCTTGGTTTTATACAGAGGCAGGAGAGCCTGGCGACAAAGAGTGCAGTTTTTGGGGTTTAACTCCCTATCGTGAAATCCCAGACCTTGCATATATGAGCATGTGACTTTAGTGGGGTCACTTCACTTCCTGTATCCTGCCTCAGTTTCCTCCGATTTAAGCAGGGACAACGATAGTACCTCCCACATAAGGTAGGTGTGAGGAAAACCTCTAAAGGAACTTAGAAGAGTACTTGGCACATAGTAAACACTAGACAGTGCTTCTTCTTGACATTCAATTTAAAATATTTTCTGACAGGATTAGAAGTTCTTCACAAATAGGTTTTTCTGAGCTTACACAATGTGCAATTAATGAATGTATCAGCAATCACTTAAGAAGAGTTCAGAAAACCAAGGGAGACAAAGGGCAGGGCCTCTTGTCGGTGGCACAAGCCATATTTCCAGAACTTTCCTTTGAGGGTCCACTTCTCTCATGGGGCATCACCATCTCCCGAAACACCCATCCCTCCCTTTGCCTCGGACGCTTTGGTGGCTCTGCCCACACCTCTGGGTCCCTTTCCCCAGTTCTGAGAGCTCATCCTTCTCCCCCTGCCTGTTTGGCTGGTGACATATAGAAGATTGCAGGCCAATCATGTTGTAGAAGCGCCCTCATTCGGATTTGTTTGATGTTCCCCTTTGATTAAATTCAGGCTATGCATTTTTGAGAGGTGATCAGTTGCATTTTTGAGAGGCGATCGGTTTCATTTTCTACGTGGAAGTATTAAATCCATTTGGAATTAATTTTGGTGTGATATATTTTTCTTCACTTATATGAAACACCTCCTTTATCAGGTAGCAAATATTTAATTGTATATATCTTCTGTTTCTGTGATTCAAAAGCCAGTGTCACACTGTTTTAATTACCACAGCTTTGTTATATGCCCCTAAACGTGGTAAGGAGCAAATTCCCACTTAACAATGCTCCTTTTCTCAAAAACGCCCTGGTTCTTTTCTCCCATGGCATTTTCCAGGTGCGCCT